AGTACTTAGCCACCCTCACTGCTGGGTTTCCTTTCCTATTGTCCACCCTAAACTGCACTTTCTGCAATTGAAGTCCATCGGTTCTTTTCCTATCCTTCCCATCCTCCCCCATTGTTTTGCAATTTAATTCCTAAACTCTGTGTGATGGGTTGGGTCACAGAAAACCCTTTGTGACTGCCTCTGGGTGTGCCTAGACTACCCGTGAGCCTGTTTTCCTTGCCAGCTTGGTACTTAAGTACCTTATCTTGTTTGAGACACACACACTTTCCTGCTGCAAACACAGAGCCAAGTCTGAACCACATCCCCCACTAGCCACAGGCTTAACTGAAAACAACTTAAGAAGTGTTCCTGTCTCTAACACTGAGATGCCCAGCTCCCATGCCACATTCCCAGGAAAGCTCAGTTGTGGATTGGCGTCTTTCAAAGTTCATTGTTAGCTTAAGTGTTTCTTGAATGGGCACTTACAGAGAATAGACTTTTCTCAAGAAGCTGACCAACTGCTTCACTGAGGCTACTTAAAATCAAATAAGTACATAGCCAATATTCGTAACTTCTAATACAAAATTGATACATGCAAGGAAATAGGATGAAGATATCCAATAGATGATAGCCTTTGCAGAGCTATGTTACATGGCCTATCTAGCATAAACCACATTCCAGTTATGTCATATTTACACTCATAAGCATATTTCTGTAAAGGATTATGGGGTGCAATGTCACACTCTGTTTCACGGACTATAACTTATGGGAAATAAAGAAAACTAACAAAAGAATTGGGAGGGTGCTGGCCTGTTCGGAGATATTTTGTAGCAGCATCTGCAGAGATGCTGCAGAGATCTTGAGTGTTAACCACCAGTTTGGGGAATATCCTCCTTTTTGTAGCCTGCCCTGATGTTGGCATTTTCAATGAGGACTGTCCCAGGCACCTCCGGGTCACAGGAGGCAGAGAAGCCAGGAGGAGGAGTTATGAGTTACTAGAGGAAGTAGGGGCATAGTGTTTCCTGGGCACAGACCTGGAGTGACAGACTTGGGAGTTTCTAAATACAGAGATTGTTGGCTGTTGGTTGTTTCTAGTGGTGTTCAGGGAAGCAGGACGTTGTGTACATTCTTTGTAACCCATCGCCCACGGATTATACCAAAGAATATAGTTGACTTGTATCATCAATCTTTCCACCAAATACAATCAACCCTGTAATGTCTCACAGGTTGGCACCACTTAGGAGAAGGGGGCACCAACATGCCCTGGAGCCCTGATAATACCAGCCAAGCCTTGAGACCCGTGGGGGATAATTTCTGCTCCCATATTGAAGAAGGGAAGAGTCATCACTGGGCCTACCAGGGATCTCCTTGGGGGTAGGTCATGACCACAATGGCTTTATGCATCTGCAGCCATGGATCAGTGCATGGGCCCACCCCTGTGGTGACTTCACCCTTTCATGTCAGTCGAACACTCCTGTCAGTCAGCACCACACCTTTGGTGTTACTGGGATATTTTCTAGGTTGGTGGCTGTGACATACCCGGGTCCAACTCAGACTAATTCGCAGCTGTGTCACACCCTCCTACAACCTTGCAAACCCTTCATAAAGTGGTTTCCACCTGGCCACTCACAAAAAACTGTCTCGCATGCAAATCACACCCTGAGCATGTGTGTGTAACTGCAGCCTGCACAGGAATAGTTGGGTGACACTCAGGCTCTCACCACCCTTGGTTATACTGCAGGGTGACCCCAACACACTCCCCAGTCTTCGATTTCCCTCCCGAAATGTATGTCCTGTGCTGCCCAGTCCTCTCCTGGACAATACAAGCTACATTGTCCATTATTTCTTTAATAACACTAACTTATGTGGAACTTAGTTTCTCAGACACTTCTATTTATAAACACTGGATTAGATAAAATAAAAAAAAATATCGATGACAAAGATAGATTTTAAGTGATTGCAAATGAGGAGGCATAGAAATCAGACATAGTTTCAAGAAAAATAAAGCTAGAATGCAACTTGTGCCTAAATTAACAAATGATGTGAAATTCAAAGCAAAACTTTCCTCACCACATGCTTTCAGCAGTCTTACTGAGCAAACATCTGAGGTCAGGACCCTTCCCCCAGTCCAATGGCTGCTTCCTTTATCCCATCAGATCCAATGAATCAATGGGCAGAGAGAGAGAGAGAGAGAGAGAGAGAGAGATTGGTGCCTTGCGATGTCTGCCCCCTCTTTTTATAGTCCTATCCTCACTTTGAGAAACATTTCCACATGGTTAAGACAAGACAAAATGTCTTTGTAGAAGGATGTTCCCTGCTACTTTTTCCTTACCTTTCTTGGGCTTCCTTTGTCTCCCTTCCTCCTTGATGACTCTGATTTCTGTTTAGATACAAAATTAATCAGAGCACACATTTCTTTGTCCAAGAGGGACCAGTTTGCCAGCCTCAGTTTGGAACATGTATGAATAACATCATACAGTGTCATCTTATAACTTCACATACATTATAAAAAGTATTATTAATATTTGCGATGAGCATATGGCTATTTCTAGTTGACTCGCAGAATTATTTAGCATCTTAGAGCTGAGCTCTGTGTTCAGATAATATGCATACAAGTGAGATAGTTTTGTGACATTTTTATGAACTGCACAAGTCCATAGCATGCTGTGGCCTCCCCCTGAACTCCTCTGGTCATCATATGGTCTCCATCAAGCAAAATGAGTGAACCTATGTTTCCTACTTTGGGGAGTAACCGAGCAAGGGAAGGACATAGTATAGCATGCCAATCACCATGGTATCAATAGCTAGATAATCTGGAGTACTGTTACATGTCTTACAGGTTTTACATTCCACCTACTGAGGCCAGGAAAATAAGGTGATTCTGGAACCAGGAATAACTGAGATGATATCAGCTACAGCCGGAAACAATTAGTATGTTTCACCTGTGTCAAGTTTCCTTCCTCACTCTGAACTCTAGGGTACAGATGTGGGGACCTGCATGAAAACCTCCTCAGCTTACATTTACAAGCTTAGGTTAAAACTTCCCCAAGGTACAAACTATTTTACCCTTGGACTTCCACTGCCACCACCAAACTTTATCTGGGTTCCTGAGAAAACGTAGTTTGGACACATCTTTCACCCCAAAATCCTCCCAAACCTTGCACCCCACTTCCTGGGGAAGGTTTGGTAAAAATCCTCACCAATTTGCATAGGTGACCACAGACCCAAACCCTTGGATCTTTGAACAATGAAAAAGCATTCAGTTTCCTTACAAGAAGACTTTTAATAGAAGTAAAAAAGAATCACCTCTGTAAAATCAGGATGGTGAATACCTTATAGGGTAATTAGATTCAAAACATAGAGAATCCCTCTAGGCAAAACCTTAAGTTACAAAAAAGACACACAGACAGGAATATTCATTCTATTCAGCACAGCTATTTTCTCAGCCATTTAAAGGAATCATAATCTAACACATACCTAGCTAGATTACTTACTAAATTCTAAGACTCCATTCCTGTTCTGTCCCCAGCAAAAGCATCATACAGACAGACACAGACCCTTCTCCCTCCTCCCAGATTTTGAAAGTATCTTGTCTCCTCATTGGTCCCTTTGGTCAAGTGCCAGCGAGGTTACCTTTAGCTTCTTAACCCTTTACAGGTGAGAGGATTTTTCCTCTGGCCAGGAGGGATTTTAAAGGAGTTTACCCTTCCCTTTATATTTATGACAACCTGTACCTAACTTCTGGTTCTTTTATTCCCAATTTGTTGCTAAGGCTGGTTGATCATTTTTCTTGAGAAGTTTTTTTTATAGGAAATTGGATTTTCCATTTAACTATTTTTTCCAAGAAATTATCTTTTCCCTGGAAATTATAAGCTTTCCATCAAAATACCAAAAATCCCTCCTCCCAAAACCATGGCTGTGGGACTCTGATGATGTTCCAGGGCAGTTCAGCAAGAGGAGAAACCATCATGCATCATGGGGGATATAGTCTAGCCTGCGAATCTGGTCCATGGAAGAGATTGGTGGTGTGTGGTATCTGAGGAACCCCCATGGTACTTTTGAGTCAAACTATTAAGTTTTTAGCTAAAAGATTTTGGTCTCCACAAAGAAATCCCCATTGTGGATCAGCTCTACACAGTACTTCGCTTGCACTGAAAGCAGCTGGATGAAATATACCAATAATGTCATACTCTGTAACTCTGGTAGAAATTGCACCATTTAATAACACAGTAGGAAAGAGTGGGACAAATTAATCCCCAGAGCACCAATTAACTGAGGGTAGCTTTGGTTCACTGAATGCATTAATTAGGTGTTGTGTCTCTCTGAGCTCAGGTATTCCCAGTTGCTTCAGGAATCATGTCCCATCGATCACACATCTCAGTATAAAATTTCCCAAATGCTCCTAACTGGCAGTTTCTTTCGATGAGAAAACACCCATGCATCTCTCTCTCTCTCTTCTCAGCAGGTACATGCTATGGTCTGGAATTAGAGTCACACACACACATAGACACCATGGGGATCAGCAGGTATTGAATTCCAGACCTCCAGCACCAAAAGCCTCAGCCCCATCTCCGACCCCTTCAGAAAAAGGAGCGATCTGCTGGGTTGGAAAACATAGGCAATTACCTAATATCTGAAGCCAGGGCTTCCCATTATATCACTGGGTTTTCATACAGGCTCAAGTATATGCCAAAAAGCTTAATTAGCACAGTGAGGAACTTTACCACAGAGTGTGGAAAGATTGACATTCCTTTACTCTCACCCCTTCTTTAGCTGAGGAATAATATCTTCAGACTGATTCTCTCACAGCAGAGTCACAAGTCACTGTTTTCTGTTCAGATTAGTGAACAGGAGTGTTTGTGTGGGGGGGCATGATTAACCTGCATGTCATTGTATTTGCACAGCATGTGCTTTTTATCGAACACCTGGAATGACCCTCTGCGAACATGTGGCTCTGTGGATTAAGCCCGTCCTGGAATGGGTACTGATGTCCATGAGGAAACTGATCTCCATTTCTGTAGCTGCCTGATCTCTGTTCAGAGGAGATGGAAAAGGGAAATCTCTCGGAGGTGACTGAGTTCATTCTCTCAGGACTGACAGATCGTCCGGAGCTGCAGGTCCCGCTGTTTGTGGTGTTCCAACTGATTTATGGTATCACCCTGGTGGGGAATGGGGGGATGATCTTGTTAATCACAATTGATCCCCGATTCCACACCCCCATGTACTTTTTCCTCAGTAATTTGTCTTTCTGTGACCTCTGCCTTTCCTCAATAATTTCCCCTAAAATGCTGCTGAATTTCTTTGCTGAGTGGAGAAGCATTTCTTCTACTGCCTGTACTGTGCAAATGCATCTCTCTATCATTTTTGGAGATGTTGAGTGCCTCTTGCTGGCTGTGATGGCATATGACCGTTATGTGGCCATCTGTAACCCGCTGCTCTATACGGTCACCTTGTCCCGGCAGCTTTGTAAACAGCTGGTGGCTGGGGTGTACGCTGTGGGGGTGGTGGATTCAATGATATACATGTGTTTTACATTTCGGGTGTCATTTTGCGGCTCCAACATCATCAATCATTTCTTCTGTAACGTCCTCCCACTGTTGGCGCTCTCCTGTTCTCAAAACCGCATCAATGAGATTGTGATGTTTGCTTTCATGAGCTGCATTACAGTGAGCAGCTTTCTGACTGTCCTCCTCTCCTATGTCTATATAATCTCCACCATCCTGCAGATGCGCTCTGCTGAGGGTCGGCGCAAAGCCTTCTCCACTTGCACTTTCCACTTAACGGCTGTGCTCCTGTCTTTTGGCACTCTCTTCTTCATGTACTTACATCCCACCTCCAGCTATTCCATGGACAGAGACAAAGTGACCTCAGTGTTTTACACGCTGGTGATCCCTATGTTGAACCCTCTCATCTACAGCCTGAGGAACACAGAGGTGAAGGATGCCCTGAGGAAAGCAATGAATAAACTCCTAACCATTTCTTGAATCTGTTTAACTCTGTATTGGTTTAGTGGTGGGGAGTGAAAACAGATGAATTCAATTCCCAGCCCATTACAAAGTAATTTTGCAGAGCCCGTGGGAGCATTATTCTTTATTGTATTGTTATTATTATTAATTTTTTTGTATTCCAACAAGGTCTGCAGGCCCCAGAAGAGATCAGTGGACAAAACATGGGAAGCATCACAGGGCCAGAGAGAGAGAGAATGATTTTATAAGCTGGTGGCTAAGGGGCATCCACCCAGGGGGTGATATGTTCAACTTCACATCTCAGGACTTGGGGTTGCAGTTCCAAAGGGGTTTCTGTGACCCAACCCGTTACACAGAGTTTTAGGAATACAATTAGGAATAAAATTGCAAAAGAATATGTGTGTGTGTGTGTGTGTGTGTGTGTGTGTGTGTGGGTGTGGGTGGGGGTGGGGGTGGGTGGAGGGCGGGGGAGGATAGCACAAACACCCATGCACTTCAATTTCATCAAGGGTGGTTTAGGATGGACATTAAGAAAAATATCCCAACAGTGAGGGTGGCTATGCACTGGAATAATTTTCCTAGGAAGTTTGTGGAATCTCCACCATTAGAGATTTTTAGAGAAACACCTGTCAGGGATGGTCTAGATAATACTCAGTTCGGCTGTGAGTGCAGGGGAGTGGAATAGATGACCTCTCGAGGTCCCTTCGAGTCCAATGATTCTGTCATTGCAACAGGAAGCCCTGCACTGGGAGGAGGGGGGACGCCAGCCTGAGCACTGAGCAGGGCAAGGGACACACACCTACCAACACTTGATATTCAGCTCCACTGTACCCCACAACACATGCACACACAGAGTGCCTAATGCACACCAAATGCACACACACAGAGAAGGCGCAGTACACACACACATAATGCCCACTACAGCACACACAGAGTGCCCACTACACACAACACACACAGTGCCAACTGCACAGCAAACACACACACACAGCCTGACACTGAGCTCAATCAGAATGCAGAATAATCTCTACTGGGAAGCTGGGATAGCTGGAATATTTCCAACTAGCCAGAACAAAAAGAACTGAAGGGGATTAGTCTGCAGAAGAGAAGAATGAGGGGGGATTTGATAGCTGCTTTCAACTACCTGAGAGGTGGTTCCAGAGAGGATGGTTCTAGACTATTCTCAGTGGTGGAAGAGGACAGGACAAGGAGTAATGGTTTCAAGTTGCAGTGGGGGAGGTTTAGGTTGGATATTAGGAAAAACTTTTTCACTAGGAGGGTGGTGAAACACTGGAATGCGTTGCCTAGCTGGAGGTGGTGGAATCTCCTTCCTTAGAAGTTTTTAAGGTCAGGCTTGACAAAGCCTTGGCTGGGATGATTTAGTTGGGGATCGGTCCTGCTGTTGAGCAGGGGGTTGGACTAGATGACCTCCTGAGTTCCCTTCCAACCCTGATATTCTATGATTCTATGATTCTATGATTTTATGATTCTGCTGCCCTGGCAGGGAGAGAGGACTAGATTTCCCAACTGGTCTTTTCCATCGACAGCATTTCTGAGGCCTGGTTTAGGTTTAAAAAATAGATCAATGGAGCTCTGTCGCACAGGGCGGGGAAATTTTTCACACCCTGTGCAAGGCAGTTAGCTTGTGCTGATGTTCAGTATAATTATTCCATTGACCTAGCTATTGCCTCTAGGGGACGTGGATGAACTACATGGAAGGAAAAACCCTTCCATCGATGTGGAAAACAGCTATACTATGGAGCTGCTGCACACCATAGCTGAGTCAATGTTACGGCCTTATTATAGACATTCCCTGACTCAATGGGGGGTTTCTCCTTTCCCATTAAAGCTATTTTTCTCTCCTTTTCCATCATTCTTCTCCCTCCCTTGTAAAGCTCTTTCTTTTTTTGATAGGTAAATATGTTCAGAAAAGTTGAAATTTCTCCTCTCAGAATAATTCCTTCCTTCCCCTCCCATGAATGTCATTTCAATTAAAGGCTGAAATGCTCTGAAACTGACTTGTTTGCCCATGACTTGGTGGTACCTCTTTGTTTTTCCTCCCTTCACTTACAATGAGTTAAGAGGGACAGAAGCAGTACCTGCTCAGACCCCTAAAATCAGACACAGAATCGAATCTTTCCCTGTTTGCTAACCACACCGATGTTACCCTTAATACATCTGGAGCTGTTTCCTTGGCCAGAAGAGGTTAAACTTGGTTTTTATGACTTTGGGATTTGCTCCCTGGAGCATCTTTGCTCCCAGGACAACAGGTGTGCACAGCAAATGCAATTAATGTTGTTGCCATGCCTTTTCTTGTGGAAATGGAATACAGATGGGCAGAGAATCAGCTGGCCTGGATTGCTTTCTCTCCCGTGAGGTCATTTAACATGATACAAAGATGAGGTGACTGTTTTCCAGTGTATTTGTTGGTCACCTCTCCAAATCTCTCTTTAAGTAATTTCCCAGCATCGGGACATAAAGGTGTCTAGAAATGAGTGAATTTCTTCTGGTCTAATAATCTATTGTCAAAAACAATATGGTTTGGATTGACCTGAAACTATTCACAAATGTGTTACAAATACGCTGAATAGCTTTGTTCCAAAACAATGTGTGTGCGGCGGGAGGATTTAGATGCCAGTCACAATGCAGCCACTGTAGGAGGTGGTGGTGGTATTTCATTTGGAATTTTTAGCCCAATAGTTGGGGTTTTCACCTGTGAGGTGGGAGATACAGGGTCAATTCCCCCTTCTGCCCAGTGCTTGGGAAAGCTCTGTGTGACATTGGACTCCATATGCTTTATGAAAATATGCTTCTGAATATGACATAACTGGAATATGCTTTACGATAAGTGCCCCTTGTAACATATCATTATAATCTACTAAGTGTATTCATGCTGTTTGTTTACATGGATGATTTACATGTCTGGAATTAGAAGAATAAGATACTAACTTGTGCTACTGATTTAGACATATTAAATGGAAGCCTTTAAAGGTGTTTCAGAATCAATGAACTGTGAATGGCTCTGTTTAGCTGCAAGCCTTCCTGTGTACCTGTGGGAGAAACCAGGAAGAATTAAATTTGGGTCTTACAGTGACATGTGACCATGTCACCAGATACTGAGCTCCATCTTGAAGCTGGTACTTTTCCTGAGGGGGGTGGAATTCGAAGCAAAGTTTTCCCGCCTTGGGGAAGTTCTATATAAAGCGGGGAAGCAAACAGTGAGTGTCTTCAGCTAGCTTAAGAGATGGCCTCCCCACCCCACAGAGATACCTGCAGGAACCTAGAAACATTAGGACTGTAACCACAGTGGGCGAGAACAGACCGGACCCAGGTCAGAAAAGGCATCTGACCTGAAAAGGATTGTACCTGAAATAACAAGTGGGGTGAGAAGTTACCATTTGTAACTGATTTCTGAGTGTATTAAGCTTCACCTTGCGCGTTTTACTTTGTGATTTACTTTGTTCTATCTGTTACGACTTAAAATCACTTAAATCCTACTTTTTATACTTAATAAAATCACTTTTGATTATTTTTAAACTCAGTGTGAGTAATTGTTACCTTGGGGGGCAAACAGCTGTGCATATCTTTCTTGAAGTGATATAGGGGGCAAACATGTATCATTTTACCCTGTGTAAGCTTTATATAGAGTAAATTGGATTTATTTGGGGTTTAGACCCTGGGACTGTGTTGCAGCAGGCTAGCGTGTCTGGCTCAACAAGGCAGGGTTCTGGAGGCCAAGGATGGCAGGGAAAACGGGATCACAGGTAATTTCAGCACATCAGCTGACAGTCCCAAAGGGCATCTCTGTGACTGAACCCTACACACTATGCACTTGGGTTTCCTGCATTTCCAAAAAACATCCCAGCCTCGGGGGTGATGTGCTATTCCAATCTGGGTTTCTCTCAATCTCTCCTTTCAAAGTTTTTCTACTGTGGATAACTAATTAAATAACTATTATACAGCTTTATACAGAGTAAAATGTATTCATTTGGGGTTTAGATCCCTTTGGGAGCTGGGTGTCTGTGTGCTGGAGACAGGTATCCTGCTGAGTTGGTTTCAGTCTAGATCTGCAGTTTTGGAGGTGTGGCCCAGACCCTTGGTCTGTGTTGCGGCAGACTAGCATCTCTGGCTCAACAAGGCAGGGTTCTGGAGGCCCAGGCTGGCAGGGAAATCAGCAAACCAGATGAGAGGAGGGAGGGAGGGGGGTGGCATGCTTAGAGATACTTTGTTGCAGCTGCAGAGATGCTTCAGAGAGGTTCAGTGTTAACCACCAGTGACCAACACATGAAGTGGAATACCATCACCTCAGTTTTGTTTTATATTCAAAAGCCCTCACGGTAGAGACAGCGATCGAGACCAGGTGATTCTCTTGCCCCCTGTGTTCCATTTCCAGAAGGAAAAACGTGGCAACAACATTAATTGCATGTGCTGTGCACACTTTTTGTCCTGGGAGCAAAGCTGCTCCAGGGAGCAAATCTCAAAGTCACCCAAGGAAGCAGCTCCAGAGGTAATAAGGGTAACATTGGTGTGGTTAGCAAACAGGGAAAGATTCAGCTCTGATTTTACGATTCTGATTTTAGGGTTCTGAGCAGGTACTGCTTCCATCCTCAACCCATTGTAAGTGAAGGGAGGGAATGCAAAGAGGTACCACCAAGTCATGGGGAAGCAAGTCAGTTTTAGAGCATTTCAGCCTTTAATTGAAATGACATTCATGGGAGGGGAAGGAAGGAATTATTCTGAGAGGAGAAATTTCAACTTTTGTGAACATATTTACCTATCAAAAGAAGGAAAGAGCTTTACAAGGGAGGGAGAAGAGTGATTGGAAAAGGAGAGAAAATAACTTTACAAGGAAAGGGGAAAACTCCCCCATCAATTCAGGTAATGTCTATACTAAGGCCATTACATTGACTCAGCTATGGTGTGCAACAGTAACGTGGTGTAAATACTTTCCACATTAATGGAAGGGTTTTTCCATCGATGTAGTTAATCCATGTCCCCGAGAGGCAGTAGCTAGGTCA